GGGATTCTATTATTTATACTTCTAGATATGAAGCAAGATTCTGTTAGCTTTATTGCGAACACTAATGCTCTGTTGTCTTGGCTTTAAATTACTGCTAACCAGAACTCCTAAATCCTTTTCGCAATCAGTAGTATTAAGGTCTACATTTAGTTTGTGGCATGGTTATTTACCTGTCCAATATTTAGAACTTTGCATTTGTCAATATTAAACTGCATCTGCCACTTCTCCGACCATTGCATCAGTCTATTCAAATCATCCTGGAGTGCTCTAGTGTCCTCATTAGAATGAATTGGACGGCCTATTTTGGTGTCATCAGCAAATTTGCTTATGTCGCTATTTATTCCCTCATCTGTCGTTTATGTAAATTGTGAACAACGGGCCCAACACTGACCCCTGAGGAACACCGCTTGTGACGTGCCCCCATTCCGATTTCTCCCCATTTATGCAAACTCTCTGCTGTCTATTTGTCAGCCATGCCTCTACCCAGGAAAAAATTTCTCCTCCTATTCCGTGTGCCTTAAGTTTCCTCAATAGCCTCTGGTGTGGAACTCTATCGAAAGCCTTACTGAAGTCCATATACACTATCATATTCATTACCATGATCTACCTCCTCAAACACCTTAGTGAAAAAAATTAGTAAATTCGTAAGACAGGAACGCCCCTTTAAAACCGTGTTGAGATTCATTCATCAATCTGTGCCTGTCAAGATGGCTACGAATTGCTTCGGCAATTATTGATTCCATAAATTTTCCGACTATGGAGGCAAGGCTTATTGGTCTATAGTTCGAAGCCAAGGACCTGTCACCTGCCTTGTAAATAGGTATTACATTTGCCATTTTCCACTTATCAGGCACTATGCCAGTTTGTAGTGATATGTTAAAAAGATTAGCCAAAGGTATGCTAAGTTCCTCTTTACATTCCTTTAACACCCTTGCAAACAGTTCATCAGGGCCTGGGGATTTGTTAGGTTTTAGTTTCTCTATTTGTCTGAGGACCATGTCACTAGTTACCGCAATCGTACATAGTTTATCATCATCCTGTTCTACATAATCTATTATTTCAGGAATATCGCTAGTATTTTCCTGGGTGAAAACCGAGAGGAAGTAGGTGGATTATTACATTCATGGGAAGAGTTTAACCTATAAAGTCATAGTGTCTTAGAGGCAATCAGGTTTCATCCAAGAAAGGAGAAGCAGGTCCAATTCCATGGAACAAGCTCCTCTCTGGCATAAAGCAACTTTCCTAGAGGGGCTCACAGTGCAGAGGCAATTTATTTTTATTAGACTGTGGAATCAATACTCAGCATTCTTCAGCAAATGTTTAAAAGTGCTCTTTTTAAGTCTCAAGTACTTGAATAGTCTTTCATTCACAGAGAACGTGGGGTTAACCCATAGGTATTCAGGCTCATTTCAAGGAATCAGAGCACTAGTCCAGCTCCTTAGATAAAGAGCACCTCACCAGTACCTTTAAGATGGTTTAATATCTGGGAAGTATGCAATTTATGACCTCTCTCAAAGGAAACATGACATCAAAGGATATTGATAAATACATGTCATCTCATATCAATATAATTTTATTTGAATAAAAACTGTCAGCAGTATTACTGGTCAGTAACTGACAAATTCTAAAACATTCTTGTATAAATAATTCTTATTCTTTGATAATTATGCAAGTTAGTACCAATAGTGGAAGGATGAAACCTCTTACATATTCAAAAATTGTGTAAGGGTAGCTGGACTTATTTTTGTGAAAGTTATAAAACTTTCACCTGAACTTTTTTGTTCTTGTAAATTTTAGTTATGGCCATATTTTTATAATATAAAAGAAAGATTAAGATTTTTAAATAATCACTAATTATTATAATTTTTACTTTTTTTTTTTCAAAGAACCAGCAATATTCCACCAATACAGCCAGTACGAAAGTCCTTCCAATACCTCGTAATTTGTTTAAAGCATATTTTGCACACCTGTCAAAAAAATTGCATGTTATTGCCATACCTATTATTGTAGTATTTTTTCTAAGAATGAAATGAGTGACAAAGCAATGATTTGATGGATTTACAAGTAATGATGAACCTTGTCTGTTCTGTCGTTTAATTAAAAAACTCCTAGTCAGAGATATCTTCATCCATGCCAGGCACATAATCATCATCATCCTCATCATCAAGATCAAGGTCTTCTAGGTCTTGGAATAGGCTTTCATCTACTGTAACTTCTCCTTCACCTGCAAAAAAGAGGAAATGTGATTAAAAAATCTCTAAATTTTAAATGAATCAAGATTAAAAAGTCAATAAAAATGTTTTATCACTGAATGAGAACAGCCTGCCTACATGAGAATTCTGGATCTCAAATGTAATTTCTTTAACCCTTTCACTTTCAGTCCTGTAATATTACGGCTTTGAAGCCAGTGTCGGTCCCATAATACTACGGCAAAATCCTAGTGGCTTCTGATCTTGCGAGGGGTACCTGGTAGACCTACATATGAGAGAATGGGTCTGCATGGTCAGCGTGCACAATATAAAAAAAAATCCTGCAGGATGCAGTGCATAATGAGAAAAAAAAAAATTTGGTTTAAAACAGCAACATATTTATGGCTGTATTCTCGTTTTCTTGGTCTCATTTGATAGAACGGAAGATCTATTACAGAAATAGAGATGATTTTGAATGGTTTATAGACTGAAAATACCTTGAAATTGAGCTCAAAGTAGTGGAAATGTTTGATTTTTCCAATGTTTAAGAGTAAACAAAACATATCATGTGTCCAATACATGTCAACTGATGGGTCTAATGTGCTTTCACAAATGTGCTAATATAATTTATACCATTTTTATAATAATGCAGTAGTCTGCATAACAGTAAATCTTCTATTTTTTGTGTGAATATTAAAAATGTAAAGTAAGTGTAATATAAGAGGGGCCTGGAGATGTGACTAATGAACACAGAAAATGTTATTTTAGTGCCAGAAATGTCTGCATTGTTTATTCCAAACTGTATTGAAATTGGCCTTTCTTGAATTTTGTATGAAATTGGCTACATTACCAAATTCTAATCACTTTACTGGGTAGTTTAAATAGGTAAATGGGAGGTTCCTTGTATTCAATCGATAGAACAGAAGAAGTTCTAACAAAATTGCTATAAATATAGTCGACTGGAACAAAGAAATTGACCCAAAACAGGGTTCAAAGTGAGTGAAATCGCCAATACGTAAATATTGCTGAGACCGCTAACTTTGCAAGAGCCTAATTCTGCAAGTTTTCCATCAAATTTCATACCTTTGGTTTCATTACCATCAGGAAAAGATTCTCTATCATTTCATAAGAATTTTTTTTTTTTTTTAAATTCTTCGACACTGAGAGCAAGTTTGCAAGCAGGGGTCTCAACAGTGAAAGGGTTAAAAAGCACTACATACCACATAAAAGAAAAAAGTAAAAAAATTAATTATAAGATAAATTTACCATCACCCAAGAAGCTCAGGTCAGATTCGTTTAGAGTCTGGTCCGTTTGGAATAATTCACGTCCTGTTAATTTCTTATTTTTTTCGTCCTCCTTTTCTCTTTCTGATCGCAGTGTAGCAATCTCAAAATCAAATCTTGCCTTCCATGCTAAAAATGTTTCCACTGTCACTCTTGTGCCTTCGAACTTTTTCTGTAAGGATGAGATATTAACCATTAACAGGTTATAGATGACCTTGAAATATCTGCCCCAAAATTCCAACCTATCTATTAGGCCATCTGTGTAGTAATCACTTACAAAAAAAACAAGAATGTAAAGGCTGGGGATTGAGTAAGTACATTCAAGTGAAGAATGCAGAGAGAAAAAAGGGAAAAGAAAGGATTAATTAAAATACAATGTAAGAAGTAATAATAAAACAACAAAGTATGCAGCTGAACCTCATAATTCGGGAAGTTTAGGTTCCAGGTGGTGATCAAGTCCAAAATCTGAGGATAAAAGATAAATTTTGCATGTTCTTCAGCTATATCTCTTTAAATATTGCTCTTATCTACTCTACTAAATATTGAGATTAATAAGAATGAATGAGTGCATTTTGAGTGAAATCAAATGGATATTTTTTATTTAGGGGGTCATGTTTAAGCAAGAAAATAATGAAGATGAGAAGTACAGTGCCTGCACTCTGCAGGAATGAGGGAGGGGGGAGGAACATTTGCAATTTTGAACTGTAGTATCAGCATCCTTCTGGCAAGACAGTGATGGAGTAAGTGATAAGTGTTTCTTCTTTTTCGGGTCACCCTGTCTTGGTGGGAAATGGCTGATGTGATAAAAAAAAATAAATCTACAAAATTATAGGTAGTAGGTTGGTAGACAGCAACCGCCCAGGGAGGTACTACCGTCCTGCCAAGTGAGTGTAAAACGAAAGCCTGTAATTGTTTTACATGATGGTAGGATTGCTGGTGTCCTTTTTTCTGTCTCATGAACATGCAAGATTTCAGGTACGTCTTGCTACTTCTACTTACACTTAGGTCACACTACACATACATGTACAAGCACATATATACACACCCTTCTGGGTTTTCTTCTATTTTCTTTCTAGTTCTTATTCTTGTTTATTTCCTCTTATCTCCATGGGGAAGTGGAACAGAATTCTTCCTCCGTAAGCCATGCGTGTTGTAAGAGGCGACTAAAATGCCGGGAGCAAGGGGCTAGTAACCTCTTCTCCTGTATATATTACTAAATGTAAAAGGAGAAACTTTCGTTTTTCCTTTTGGGCCACCCCGCCTCGGTGGGATACGGCCGGTGTGTTGAAAGAAGAAGAAATCTACAAAATGGCCTAATGTAAAAATAATTGTAAAAACAAATCACATGGATTATGAAGCACACGAATTCTGGGGTCTGACTGTATAATGAAAATGAGCATCATGTATACTCACCTTTCAATTGTCTAATTCCAAGAATCTTCCTGGTCTTCAGCTTCGAAGTTAAGATTGATATCTATCTCTTAAATGAAGTCTTCATTTGCAAATAATTACAAATAATGTACAGACTCACCCGTTCTGCTTCCTCTTGTTCCCTTTTCTTACGTTCAAATTCCTCTTTTGCTCTCTGTGCCAATTCTTCCATATGTGTATTTAGCCACTCCACAGAATATGAAACTAATGTGAACACCATCACCATACCTAGGTTTTCTTCACACTGTAAAGTAATTTTGTATTAACATGGGTAACATATCAGTAAAACTTACGCAAAACTGTAATAGCACGAGGGATATATCTTGCTCAAAAGTATAAGACAGCTTACTATATACTGTATATATAGATATGCAGAAAAAAAATTACATAAATATTTGATCACAGGTTTAAATGAAAAAAAATATATATATATATAAAATATTAAACTTTTTGCTTGCTAATGTCTCAAGCTAGTAACCTGACTGTTATTACATGGGAAAGTGCAAAACCCATAGGGATACACCAAGTGTCTGTGGGGCAATTCCTGGTATGAGTAGAAACATTGGGCATGTTTCCTTACACTTGCTGTCCCTGTTCACCAAGCAGTAAATAGGTACCTGGGTGTTAGTCACCTGGAATGGATCACATCCTGGGGGACAAGACTGAAGGACCTCAATCGAAATCAGACAGACAGTCCCCGATGACTTTCTTGGGTTATCCTGGATGGTTAACCCTCCGGGTTAAAAATCCAAACAAATTTTATCTTACAGTACCTAGGGGAATGGGAAGCATTCAGGTTTGAGTCAGGTATGGGAAGGTAGGTACAAATCCCTGGATGAAGAACCTTTCTATGGCATTAAGAAGCCTCCTTTGTGGGGCCCAATAACCTGGGAGTGACTGATGCTTAAGGTTTAAAAAAAACTGACACATCATAAAAACAAAATTATTTGCTTAGCTGTGGAACAAAAACACATGCAACTACGTTTGATAAATACATTTGATGCCAGAAAACAAATCATTCATACCTATAAATTTTCAAGAGGTTACAAGTAATATACAATTACGGACAGCAGTAAAATATAAGCAGAATTTTATCTTGCTCACAAAACAAATTATCTTTACTTTACCTATTATTAATATAACTTATAATCTCTCACACAAATATAATTTATCAACCTATTTTTTCCTTATTTTACTACCTTAGACTCTGTCTTCGTCCTTGTAAATTACCTGAACACAAACTTTGTAATGTTTTCCTCATACTTTTTTGCCAATGCTCATAACATTTCATGCAAGGATTATGGCATACAAGTATATGTACAAAGCTTCACAGCATCTATTAATCTTAAAGGGATATAAATTATTAACATACTTGAGCCTGTAACTGTTCCCGCAAATCTTCCAATTCTTCTTCATCTACATTTTCTACAGGAATAATCTCCATAATTGGTGGCTCATCTGGATATTTGGTTGTATATTCAAAAATGAGGGCAATTTCTGCCGGCTCTGCTTTAATATCGTCCAAAGAATCAGAACCCTCTGATTTCACACTGATTCTGAATTTGTGTCTTGGTTCTACATCTAAAACTGGAAGAAATAAAAATCTTAAGATACCGTATCATGTTATCCAATTACTACATACATTATTTGTGTAATATTATAACAAAAATATACAAGTATAGTAATAAACAGAAGTATTTGTTATAGGTAGATATAAATGCATATTCTTATTAATTATATCTAGAAACAATGACACTTGTCCTGGCCTTTATGTAAGCATCAACTGGTACATATAGTTTTCAGAACTATTATAATCACTGGGCTTGCAGGCTCTGTGGCTGTTTGAGTTGGGTAATGCATGTGATATCAAATAAAACACCAGATGTTTGAGTTAGTATCTGGAAATGAATCTCCTGGTTTTCTTGACTCAAAGAGGCAATTAAATTAAGTAAAGGTGTGCAACATTTATGCTACTACCCATCGAAGCATACCAGCTCAATAGCATTTATTTTATATGGGGGCAGAGGAAAATACTTATTTCATGACTAGAATGCAAACAATTATTAAGTCATGCCATACATTTTGTTTTATTTAAACCACAGGAAAGAGGTGTGTAAAGTATTTTTCATAAGATAAAACACAATGTGAAGTTAATAATTCCCAGAAAAAATGTCAGTATCCATTACTAAGGTTTGCCAATATAATGGTGAATGAGGTAGGTACATATGCAAAAGTATGGTATCCTTTGTCAATAAAGATACCAAATTGTTGCATTTCACTCTTACTCATTGACTTATCAGTATTTTATACCATTAATACAGTGACAGTGTTTAATGTCAGGAGGGTGGGGTCAGAGTATATACACTGACATCAGTAAGGAGTACTGGTTTAAGATACTGGGTGGTATTCGGTAAGTTACAGATATAGAGGAGGAAAAGATAAGACCCACTATGCCACATTTGGGGGGACAATTTATTTTGGTAAGGTAAATGAAGAAGTGCTATTAATGACATGCTGCTGTATGTTGTATGGTGCTTGTGGCTCAATGGGTAGAAGCCACAGCTTGCCCACTGAGAGACTGGGGTTCAATCCCCAGAGTGGAAACTTTGGGCATGCTTACTTAAACCTGCTGCCCTTGTTCACCTAGCGGTAAGTAGGAACCTGGGTGTTAGCCAACTGGTATGGGTTGCAACCTGGGAGACATCATTGAAAGGACCCCTGTGGAAATAAGCCTGTTTGATAAATGGCTACATTTATTTACTGGCTGTATTTATGAAGATACTAGAAAGCTACAGATGACCTGGATAGGCTGATGTTGAGGTTGAAGTAGCAGCAGATGCAGTTCAATGTAATGGCACTTATGAGCTAAATAATGTAGATCTTAGTCAATGGGAATGTTAAAAAAGATTTAGGAGTTCTGGTTAGCAGAAATTGAAAGCCAACACACAACAATACATTAGTGCTCTCAATAAAGCTAATAGAAATATTGGCTTCATATCAGGAAGTATAAATAACAGAAGTCATAAATATATACTTCAACTTTATACAGGAGGGGCCCCACTTATACCTGAAGAGGGTTTTGGGGGTCAACGTCCCCATGGCCTGGTCTGTGACAAGCAGGTTAGGTTCCAGGCTACTGCTGTAATGCGGAAATCTCCTTTTTTCACTTTTAAATACATATAAAAGCCTGAAAACATGTTTACACTATCATATATTAAGTGAGCTAGGCCTAAAGAAATGCATATACAGCACACACATTAAAATATTTTCGTCCTCAGCTTATAGTGAGTGGTGAATATATTTATTGTAGGAAGTCTGAATAAATGAAAAATAGGCATAACTGAAAACTGCTGCATTAGCAAAAATGCCGTAAAGCATAGCACCGTAAAGCGGGACCTACCTGTATATCCTTGTTAGGGCCTGATTTTAATTATGTTAAGTTCTGGTCTCAATGTTACAGGATGGATATAAATGTGCCAAACAATATACAGAGGACAACAAAGTTAATTCTCACATATCAGAAATATTTCCAACAAAAATGAAGTAAAGGTGCCGAACTTGCACTCTCTAGAATGGAGTAGAATCATGGAAGATATGATTGAAGTGCACAAATGGAAAACAGAAAAAATCATGGGACAAATGGTATTTATAAAATACCTAACCATGACAAGACTTGGTTTAATAAATTAAAGTTGGATAAATTTTGATTTAGAAATGATATACAAAAGCACTTCTTTGGCAGTAGAGTTGTAGATGAGTGAAACAAGAGCTTCGGGTAGCTTTCAATATATATTGGACAGGTACATGAGTGGGTGCAGGTGGGTGTAAGTTGGACCTGCCTAGCTTGGGCCAGTAGGCCTGCTTCTTCGTTATGTTCCCCTGGGTTAGTAATCTAAATAACACCATCTTCATCACTTGTATATTTCCGCATGGGTACAAAAAAAAAAAAACTGGTGTTCTAGTTGTTCATACGCCCTTAGTGTTGTTGCACTTCCTCATAATTATACCATCCAATAAAATGTTAAATAAACTACACGTGATCTGTCATCATACCAGATTATTATTATTATTATAATCAAGGGGGAAGCGCTAAACCCGGAGGATTATACAGCGCCTGGGGGGGGGATGTGGAAGGTATTCAGGCTTAATTCGGGAAACTGGAGCACAGATCCAATTCCCTAAATCAAGAGCCCCTCACCAACATCAAGGAACCTTCCTTGAGGGGTCATCATACCAGAATCGATGAATAAATTGAAATATTTTGGTGAAAAACTCGTAGCATTTCCAAATGGAGAAATTTGTGCCAAATAACTACCTAATACAATATTATAACACAAATTTCAAAAAGATATACAGTAAGACACCCTAAACTTCATGAAGAAATGGCATATACAGTCCTAGGTATAGCTCCCGGAGTTAAAACTTACTCTCAAATTCCTCTGGATATATAGATTCTAGAGCTTCCACTTCGTTATTCTGCTCCTCCTTATAGTCCGTCATCGTAAATGTGGACGAGAATAAAGCATATATTACAGAATATGATAAATATGGGTGAGAGCAACAGCAGCAGCAGCAGCGTGTTGCCACTCCACTGTTTTGGTTCCTGGCGATCCAGTGTCCGAATAATAGCAAGAGGATTTGCCCAACATTAAACAATGTTTTATTAAAAGTACAGACAAAGCTAAATCAGAAAAATACATCTAAAATTAGAAAACGGATCACATGGTGTATTTTTTTTATAAGATAAAGCATAATAAATCCCATAAATTGAGGTACATTTTTTCAGTCGATAGTATTGCCACCGACTGGGGGGTTCGGACAGAAACACTCTTTTTATCAGTGTAACATTGCCATAAAATTTTATATAATTTTTTATCGAAATGTGTTTCATGCATGAATAACCAAATTGAAAGATGTTAGAAAGTGTTTTATGTCAGTTCTTGATAATCATCCTCTCTGCTGCATTTAATAGCACATCCATTGATATCATTTGCTCAGATGCTCAAGAAATTTCTGAAACTTTTAATTCTAGACAAATACCCTAACCTCTCCTATTGTAACCTGTTAAATAAATGAGCACTTTAACTCAGACCTTTAGATTAACGGTACTGTTTCTGGTATATGTGAATGACATGACGGAAGAGACAGATTCAAAACCATCAGTAAAATGGGTACCTGGGTGTTAGTTGACTGGTGTGGGTCGCATCCTGGGATACTGACCTAATTTGCCCGAAATGCTGAGCATAACAAGGTATTTTTATATAACAGGGATGTTAGGAAGCATTTCTTCAGCCACAGAGTAGTCAGGAAGTGGAATAGTTTGGGAAGAGATGTAGTGGAGGCAGGATCCATACATAGCTTTAAGCAGAGGTACGATAAAACTCATGGTTCAGAGAGAATGACCTAGTGGCGACCAGTGAAGAGGCGGGGCCAGGAGCTTGGACTCGACCCTTGCAACCTCAACTAGGTGAGCACACACACACACACAGAGCTAAGGGGAATGTCATATGAAGAAAGGTTAAGGGAAATCGGTCTGACGACGCTGGAGGACAGGAGGGTCAGGGGAGACATGATAACGACATACAAAATACTGCGTGGAAAAGACAAGGTGGACAGAGACAGGATGTTCCAGAGATGGGACACAGAAACAAGGGGTCACAATTGGAAGCTGAAGACTCAGATGAGTTAGAGGGATGTTAGGAAGTATTTCTTCAGCCGCAGAGTTGTTAGGAAGTGGAATAGTCTGGCAAGCAATGTACTGGAGGCAGGAACCATAAATAGTTTTAAGACGAGGTATGATAAAGCTCATGGAGCAGGGAGAGGGAGGACCCAGTAGCGGTCAGTGAAGAGGCAGGGCCAGGAGCTGAGTCTCGACCCCTGCAACCACAATTAGGTGAGTACACACACATACACACACACACACACACACACACACACACACACACACACACACACACACACACACACACACACACACACACACACACACAAATAAGTATGAGGAGACATCCTCAGACATAATAGCACTCACAGAAACAAAACTCACCAGAATAATAACAGATTCAATCTTTCCATCCGGATATCAAATCCTCAGGAAAGGCAGAGGGAGGAGAGGGGGAGGAGGAGTTGCACTGCTCATTAAAAACCAGTGGGGGTTGAGAAAATGGAAGGAATGGATGGCACGGGCGAAAGGGACTACTTAGTAGGAACAATCCAGTCCGAGGGACATAAGGTGATAATTGCAGTAATGTACAACCCACTACAGAACTGCAGGAGGCCAAGAGAAGAATACGATGAGAGCAACAGAGCAATGGTCGACACACTAGCCGAGGTGGCCAGGAGAGCACACATGGGGGGAGCAAAGTTACTAGTTATGGGTGATTTCAATCACAAGGAGATTGACTGGGAAAACCTGGAGCCCCATGGGGGTCCCAAAACATGGAGAGCCAAGATGATGGATGTGGTACTGGAAAACCTCATGCATCAACATGTTAGAGACACTACCAGAGAGAGAGAGAGGAGAGGATGAACCAGCAAGACTGGACCTTGTATTCACCTTGAGTAGTTCTGACATCGAGGATATCATGTATGAAAGGCCCCTGGGAGCTAGTGATCATGTGGTTCTGTGCTTCGACTACATAGTTGAGCTCCAAGTGGAGAGAGCAGCAGGAATAGGGTGGGAAAACCAAACTACAAAAGGGGGAACTACTCAGGCTTGAGGAACTTCTTTCAAGACATTCAGTGGGAGAGGGAACTGACAGGAAAACCAGTACAAGAAATGATGGACTATGTGGCAACAAAATGCAAGAGGCAGAGGAGAAGGTTTGTTCCCAAGGGAAACAGAAATAATGGGAAGAACAGAACGAGTCCTTGGTTCACCCAAAGGTGTAGGGAGGTAAAAACTAGGTGTATTAGAGAATGGAAAAGGTACAGAAGACAGAGAACTCAGGAAAATAAAGAGATTAGCTGAAGAGCCAGAAACGAATATGCACAGATAAGAAGGGAGGCTCAGCGGCAATACGAAAATGACATAGCATCGAAAGTCAAGACTGACCCGAAGCTGTTGTACAGCCACATCAGGAGGAAAACAACAGTCAAGGACCAGTAATCAGACTGAGGAAGGGTGATGGGGAATTCACAAGAAACGACCGGGAGGTATGTCAGGAGCTCAACACGAGATTTAAAGAAGTATTTACAGTGGAAACCAGTAGGACTCCAGGAAATCAGAGCAGGGGGGTGCACCAGCAAGTGCTGGATGAGGTACATATAACCAAGGAGGAGGTGAAGAAGCTGCTATGCGAACTTGACACCTCAAAGGCGGTGGGACCAGACAACATCTCTCCATGGGTCCTTAAAGAGGGAGCAGATATATTGTGTGTACCATTAACAAAGATCTTCAACACATCATTTGAAACTGGGCAACTCCCCGATGTATGGAAGATGGCAAATGTAGTCCCAATTTTTAAAAAGGGAGACAGGCATGAGGCACTAAACTACAGACCTGTATCACTAACGTGTATAGTATGCAAGGTCATGGAGAAGATCATCAGGAGGAGAGTGATGGAGCACCTGGAAAGAAATAAGTGTATAGTTGACAACCAGCATGGTTTCAGGGAGGGAAAATCCTGTGTCACAAACCTACTAGAGTTTTATGACAAGGTGACAGAAGTAAGACAAGAGAGAGAGGGGTGGATCGACTGCATTTTTTTGGACTGCAAGAAGGCCTTCGACACAGTTCCTCACAAGAGGTTACTGCAAAAGCTAGAGGATCAGGCACACATAACAGGAAAGGCACTGCAATGGATCAGAGAATACCTGACAGGGAGGCAACAACGAGCCATGGTACGTGACGAGGTGTCAGTGTGGGCGCCTGTGACAAGCGGGGTTCCACAGGGGTCAGTCCTAGGACCTGTGCTGTTCTTGGTATATGTGAATGACATAACGGAAGGGGATAGACTCAGAAGTGTCCTTGTTTGCGGATGATGGTGAAGTTATGAGGAAGAATCAAATCGGATGAGGTAGGCAGGACTACAAAGAGACCTGGACAGGCTAACAGCTGGTCCAGCAACTGGCTCCTTGAGTTTAATCCAAGCCAAATGCAAAGTCATGAAGATGGGGAAGGGGCAAAGAAGACCGCAGGACACAATATAGTTTAGATGGCCAAAGTCTGCAACCCTCACTCAAGGAAAAAGATCTGGGGGGTGAGTATAACACCGGAGCATATCTCCTGAGGCGCACATCAACCAGATAACAGCTGCAGCATACGGGGGCGCCTGGCAAAACCTGGATAGGTTCCGATACATCTGTAAGGATTCGTCCAAGACAACTCACACAGGAGGCCATGGAAGCTGGTGGACTCGACCCCTGCAACCACAAAATAGGTGAGTACACACACACACACACACACACACACACACACACACACACGAGGATTGAGGCAGGGACTGCCAATGAGACCTGGACAGGCTTGACATGTGGTCCAGTAACTGGCTTCTCGAATTCAACCCAGCCCAAATGCCAAAGCCTTGAAAGATTGGGGAGGGGCAAAGAAGGACCGCAGGGAGTATAGGCTAGGTGGGACAAAGACTACAGACCTCACTTCAGGAGAAAGGACTTGGGGTGACCATAAACACCGAGACATCACCGGAGGCACACATCAAACCAAATAAACTGCTGCAGAATACGGGCGCCTAGCAACACCTGAGAATAGCATTCCGATACCTTAAATAAGGAATCGTTCAAGGACACTGTACAATGTTGTATGTTAGGGCCCCATACTGGAGTATGCAGCACAATCTGGACCCACACCTGGTCAAGCCGTCAAGAAGTTAGAGGTAAGTACAAAGGTTTGCAACATGTCTAGTCCCATAGCTCAAGGAATGTCGTACGAGGAAAGGTTAAGGGAATCGGGACTGACGACATGGAGGACAGAAAGGGTCACGGGAGACATGATAACGGACACACAGAGTACTGCGGGGAATAGACACGGTGGACAGAGATAGGATGTTCCAGAGTGGGGACACAGGGACAAGGGTCAACAACTGGAAGCTGAAGACTCATACGAGTCACAGGGACGTTAGAAGTATTTCTTCAGTCATAAGAGTTGTCAGGCGTGGAATAGGCTCCTAGCAAGTGAGGTAGTTTTACTGGAGTTTACTGGGCAGAAGAGTTCCGGGGTGTCAGAGCCCCGCGGGCCAGGTCTGTGACCAGGTCTCTGGTGGAATCAGAGCCTGATCAACAAGGCTGTTGCTGCTGCTGCACGCAAACCAATGTACGAGCCACAGCACGGTGGTTCAGGAACCGACTTTAGGTGCTTGTCCAGTGCCAGCTTGGAGACTGCCAGGGGTCTGTTGGTAATACCCTTATGTATTGCTGGGAGGCAGTTTGAACTGTCTCGGGCCCTGACACTTATTTGTATGGTCTCTTAACGTGCTGAGTGACAACCTGCTTTTCATTGGGGAGATGGTGCATCGTCTGCCAAAAGTCTTTCTGCTTTCGTAGCCTAGTGGGTTGATTTTCCGTGTGCAAGTTCGAGTACTAGTCCCTCTGGGATTTTCCAGGTGTATATAATCATGGTATCTCTCCCTCCTGCGATTCCAGGTAGAATACAG